TTTTTTATTGTATTCAATAAATATAAATTAATACATTCTCAAGCCTGACCAGAGACTAAAATTGCAAACACACCGAAGCTAAATGTTTTACATGCATATAATTATCCAAATTTTAGAAGGCAATGTCTTATATATTGTTCCTGTGAAATAAAAATTTAAATTAAAATGGGATACGAAAAAAGTTACGCACGCACATGCACCCACACACAGAACAGGATAGTCTTATTTTCAGCATCACATACCTGATGGTCCAGTGCTTGTGGAAGCGCAAATATCCTCTGTCTGTGTCTCACACTCCACTTCTATTGCAGTCTCATCTTCCTAATTCTCAGGATCTTCATTTGTATCCCTTTCCTGCTCTGAGTCCTCGCTCTGAAAATAAATGAATCCCGTGTCCTCTGTCTCTCCCTCTCTGGTGCTTTCAACTTGCTCCTCTTCAAATCTCTCACCACTATCATCATCTGACTCTCTCTCTGTGTCTGGATTAATGTGATTCTTTTTCAAAAAGAAAAATAATGTAATGTCAGTTTTTCTTTTCATTTTTAACGTTAAATGTTTAAGTGAAGAGGAATTAGACTTAATAATGCTACTGTTGGGGGCTTGTTTCGTTTTGTGATTTTACATTGAAAATATAAATCGTGTCGAAAATAGCACTCCTGTCGTGGTAATCTGCTTCTCTGCGGACTGCTTCTCATTTTCCCCGCTTAATTTTGAGTGGTGCAGCACACTAAAGGGTCCGACTAGAATGTTAAGCCACGCACTTTGGTTCCACCTTTCGCGTCTGGTAAAATGTGTTTTTTTGTTTTTTTAACGGTTGTTATCAGTGACGTGCATTGAGGGTTGGGGTTTGGGTTGGTGAGGCACTGATCATTCATGTTTGTCAAGGCTTCTTGGCATGTTTTTCAAGTCACAAGATCCTGTATGGGTCCACACAGTGTCACTCGTTGAGAATAAAAGGCAGGGAAAGCAGAAAAAAACGTTTTTGTTTTTGTTTTTTTAGAGCAGAGCCACAAAGCCTTTCTTTACGTGTATACCATTGCGTTTGAAAATAACGAGTAATTTCGCATCTTTTCCCAACTCCCGTCGTTTGAAGCAAACTAGGTAGTTCTGGTGTCGGTCTCACAGTATTTACGATATTTGAAAATCCAGCTTGGAAAAATTTCTGAGTTTGGAAATGAAATCCTCCATTTTCAGGGCGGGTAATCATAGCTTGTAGCGTCACACAGCATACTTCTTGTTTACGTTTTGCACACGGGTTAGAGTTCACCGTGACCTGGCTGGTAGCAGGCTATCAGGCTGCCACCGCCACCGCCACCTTCCTTGAGGCAGAGGTACTGGCTGCCTCAAGGCAAGCATTTTCCCTGTGGATTTGTGTCATATCAGCTTTCCATGCCTCACCTCTCATCTCCGAAGGAGACACCATTTGTTTAAGCAGGAAATACAGAATATTCTGTGATTTTTATAACAAAAGTGGTCAAAATACATGAAAAACGACACCAAAATCACCGTCCAGAGGACAAATACGAATACTTACTTTATTATTTCGTTTCTTTTTCCTCTCATGATGACAAGTGAGGCACAGCCTCACCTGCCTCCCCTGACTGCATGTCACTGGTAGTTATGTAGAACATATTAAAAAAAATCAAGTAAAATGGTTTTCATAAAATACTCTTTTTTTTTTCCAGTGTAGAACATTTTGGGACACAACCCTCCCAAAAAGCGATGTAACATTTATTGTTCTTTCACAGTTTGAAGCGAACAAATCACAAATATGCATTTACAGCTCCCCCCAAGAAAGCACATTTTTAATATGAAAAAAAATGTAAATGTCCTAGTGTCACAAGATGAAAATGTTGAGAGAATACTAACAGTACAAAACATTTGCCTGACACCAGTGTTTCACTAAAATAATCTCCTGTACATACAACACAATATCTAGCTAGTCAAAGATATGTACTTTAAAATGAACTGCACTTTACCAACACTGACTCACACACCACAGCCCTCTAAAAATAATCATAAATATCAAAACATATCATACAATGCAAAATGTGTTGTGTGTTGAATGCTATGCTAGATTCAGATTCCACATGAAAAATGGACATTTTTAGACATAATTTCGAGACCTTGAGGCAAAAATTCGGCCACAGTAGATGACACAAACCAGAAAAATAGTCTGCAACTTGAATATTGTTTTGTTGCACCCACTAGCAAAAATGTTGTTTTTGTCGTGAAGCTTTATTAAAAAAATATAAAGATAGATGCTATTATCAAAGTCCAACTGACAATTCACATTTTTTATTTGGCTTTGGGCTAAATATAATTCTGCCACACAAATTCTGCCATCAAAAGGGCAAAGCTGAAATTTATTACGCTGTGCATGCCTGCTAAAATGTTATTTTCAATAGTTTTTATGGTGAGATTTTCCTTCTTTTTTCAAATCTGTAACGGACAACACACATAAAGGTAAAAAAAAAAACACCATCAGGCATTCAACAGTTTTGTTGTATTGTGTGTGGACTGCTCCAGTAGTCTCAACAGGACTCACACAAAGACTCTGTTCCACCATTGGTCTCAAGTAGAATATACTGTAGTTCATCAAGAAATAGCTCTTGCATAATCTCACAAACACAGAGAAGAGCAGACACTTCTTGTTATGTGCCGATGGTAGCCAAGTGTTTCCAAAGAGCACCGGAGGAGTAGCGTTGTACGATGGCAATGTCGGCAAGGACTTGCTTTGGAAAATACTTTTTGCCATCTGGGGAACCTACTTTTACACCAAAACCAAAATCAAGTAAAGCATATTTCGTTGAATTTCCTGCCATTTCTTTGTTGGTCAGTCAGGGCACTTTTTGATTGGCTACACACCATTTCACGTCACAGTCCATGTCAATTCATGACGAGTCAAATGGCTTGAGTCAGCTGTTCCACACACGTGAAGACATTTGATGGTCAATTTGAAAGATTGACAGCTCGACCTTTTTCAGACCCTAAAATAGTCAGTACAGACACTTTGTATTATGGTAATCCACCTGAGATGTGACAAAGGCATGAATTACTATTATGAAGTGCTATTGAGAAAGGAGAGGCTTCACTTTAGTCAGCTGCCTAAGAGGAAAGAAGCTGGATTTAACAACAGCATGGTTTTGCCCGTCCAATTTAAAATCACTGTCCAATGTAAGATCCAAGTTCGAGACTGTTCACTTCAGATAAGGAGCCAGGGGGCCCAAGTCAGCAGGACGGGATGTACAACGGCCACTGGGACCAAACACTATCAGTTCTGTTTTCTTTTCATTGAAATTCAAGAAATTCAGCGCCATCTACAGTCGGTCTTGATTTCCTCCAGACAGGATAAAAGTGGCCTCAGTCAGAAAGCATCTTTTTTGCGCCACGGGACATACATCTGACAGTCATCCATACAGCAGTGGAAGAAAATACCTTGTTTCCCAAAGATGGAATCCAATGGGAGCAGATACAATGAAAACAGAGGCCCCAGAATTGAACCCTGAGGAACACCACACGACAGCGGGGCAGACTCAGAGGAACCAAGGCAAATGCAAAAAGTTCTGTCAGCCAAATAGGATTTAAACCACTCAAAGGTGCTACTGCTAATGCCCACCGGGTGCTGCAAATGAGCCAACAGACTACTGAGATCCACCAAATCAAACGCTGAAGTTAAATGCAACAAAACCAGACACGTATTGTCCGCAGTGTCATTTGCCAGGAGGATGTCATGAAAAACTCTGAACAGGGCTAACTCTGTGCTCTGCATTACTTTGAAACCTGACCGGAAGAGCTCAATGATGTTATGTTCATCCAAAAAGGATTTTAACTGCATGTGCACCACATTTTCCAGAATTTTTGAAATAAAAGTCAGCTTGGAAATGGGTGTAAAATTTGACAGAACATCTTGATCAAGGCCAGGTTTCTTGAACAAGGGTTCCACCACAGCATATTTGAATTGTCAGGGAACAACACCAGAAGTCAGACTGCTATTGTTAATGGCCAAGACCGATTTACCAATACTCAAATACACAAAAGGAGCACCAAACACCCTTTGCACTTTTGTGTTGCTTTTAGATTACCTGTAATTAAAAAAAAAAAAAAAAAAAGACACATATATTTTTAAGGTCATACTTAACTGTTTACCGGTAGTTGAGACGATAAATACATGACTGGCAGCATTTGCCTGACTAGAAAAGGGTAAACTGAATGATCCTCAACTAGTATTGTGCGTATGGTTAAAAAAACAAAACAAAACAATAATTATAATAATAATAATCAACCTTTCGTTTGGCATTTCAAAAAACAGGTGGCTCTGTCTGGCATATTCACATTTTTTTTTATTGGGATACCGGTAATTTGTTCCAAGAGAAGTTTTGCAGACCACCATGTGATGAGGCTGATATAACCTATTTTTATTGATTATATTCAATCTCTTATGACTCTTATGCAGTAAAGGTCAGTTCAAGAAAAAGAAGAATGCTTTATTTATTCAAACATGAGGTGATTAAATGCTCTTTGAATCCCTTGTCAAATGGAGAAGGATTTATTCCAGCCTGACATGGTGTTGGTTATTCTGATTCATATACTGGTAAGGTCCTCGTGGCAAGAGGAGGGGGCACGTTGTGTTTTGGGGCTGCAGCGTGTCATCATGCTGATCTGCGTGCTGAAGTTGTGACTGTTGCCAATGGACGGGTGCTGGTACTTAGTGGTGTCAGAATCCATGTATCGCTGCAGGTGCCATCGCCGCCACTTCCTCTTGATCTCAGCCTGGACCTGCCGCATGGCAAAATGCGGACAAATATACACCATAATCCAAACAACTCTTTTTTGTTTTTTGTTTGTTTTTTTTTTTTACGTGAGTTTCCTTTGGAGTCACTGTAAATGATAGTATATTTTTTTCAGTCATTACGGTATATATACTCTGTATATATATATATATATATATATATATATATATATATACCTGTATGTTGATTTTCTTTTCAGCCCCAGCTGAAGTGAAGGGGCGTTTCCCTCCAGCAGGCACACCTGTTTCGTTTCCAATCAAGCCTTGCCCTGTATTTAAGCACTGCCAAGATGCCTAGTCAGTGTCAGATTATTGACCTAGTCTGCTGCTCATGCTCAAATGTTGTTTTCTAGACGTATCAAACTCGTCAGAGCAGTTTTTGCTCTCTCATCCTCCGTTTGTAGGTATTGATATGATTTTGTCCTTGATCTTGCTCTTATTTTGTTTGGTGTAATTTAACTTTAGTTATTTCGTTTATACTTCTCATCTTTACTATTACCATGCCTTTTGCAAGTGCATTTTGTTTATGCTATTTCCTGGTTCCTTGTGACCAGTGATTTCGGTTTAGACTTTGTCAGAGCGCTTTTCTGTGAACATTGTAACACAGTTTATCTGAGTCTGCTTTTTTTTTTAGATCCACACTCCACTGGTTCGTGTTCAGACCTTCTCTCTCACTCTGTCTCTCTGTCTCTCTGTCTCTCCCCCCCCCTCTCTCTCTCTCTCTCTCTCTCTCTCTCTCTCTCTCTCTCTCTCTCTCTCTCTCTCTCTCTCTCTTTCTCTATCTGTGCATATACAGTGATCCTTTGCTGTAACGCGGTTCACTTTCCGTGGCTTCGCTGTTTCACGGATTTTTCTAGTGCAGTTTTTTTAAATGCTTTTAAACAGTGAATTGCGTTCTGCATCCTGACTGGCTAAGGCACTGACTGACGTGAACAGTCTCCGCACCTCGTCTCTGTACAGCTTGCCAAATTTACCTTTGCAGATTTTTGGTCTTTGGTTTCATTGCATCAGTGGCGGATGCTGGTCTGTCAAGGAGGGGAAGCTCAATTTCAATGTGTCTGTTTATTTATATGTGAATTCTACTCTCTGTTCCTTTTCAAAAAAATGAAAAGGTAAAGGATGCCTTCACCATAAGATCATTGGTTCATTTCGGTGTCAATCAAAAAGACATTCAGCCTCAGCGAGATCATCCAATGATAATGAAGAAAAGCTGAAATTCTGCACGCCCACTGTCCGGAGACTCCCAGAGATGCTGAGCGTCCAATGAGCAGGACAAAACCAGCATTTATCCAATGACTCGTCTCGTTTCAATGCATTGGGACAACCTAACTGAACTCTCAAGACACCCAGCGTCCGTATACATAGTTCAGTATTATATAATAACTGTAAAAAATAAAGTTATCAAGTACCAAGTACAACTTTATTGTCAAATGTGCTGTATGTGAAACATTCAGCACATTTGAAATTTCGTCCCTCTCACATTATTTTGCTTTTTTAAAATTTTATTTTTTATTTATTTTTTATAAATCCTACTTTGTGGATTTCACTTATCACTGGTTCTATTTGGAATGTAACTGTATAAACAAGACGAAAGCAAGCAGATAGTGGATTGGTTTAAAAATTCTGCATGTGCATATCATTAAACTAGGTGTTTTGTTTGTGAATCAATCTGATAATCTTCCCACGTTGCATATTACATTGAATGGCCACAAGCCCAAAAGGCAACCAAACTTCACATGACAATGGTTATTTATTTTTTTTTTTTCATGTTTGCCCCTCATCTAAATGCGACAAAGGAAGATAAATCACTGTTGTTTCACTGCCTCGTAAACATGTTTGTGTGTGATGCACTCACCTCTCCGTTGAGGAAGCAGTAGAGAACGGCCACCACAAAGCCCTAAAGAGAAGTAAAACACATTTATTCACAACAATTTCTTCTGGTGCATCGCAATGAGTAAAGTGGAAAGCTGCTTTCAAGCAATTTTCTCCTAAATTTTGTATGGTAGAATTGTTTATCAGGCGTCGTTAGAATGATCTATCTGGGTTTATTTTGTGGGTTGTTCGACCTGCAAATGCTATTTGTAAACATCCTCTGATTTTTTTAGATGGCCCATTAGGCCAGGTCGACAGACTTGTTGACCACTGCAGTAAAAATGGCTGCCAGAGAACAAGTGAGACGCAGGAGATGAGGACATTGAAGGAGCTGCAGAGAGCAAAATATTGACACTCCAGATGATGAATGTCAGGATGGGTAGCAGGGCCACCCCTCCCTAAACACAGAACATGCACTGTTTAAGGCCTTATCACATTTGGGTTGGCTTTTGGGGCGTGACATCTCACCTCTTTGGCAGGGAAGGATCCTGAGTTGGTGTGTAAAGTTGAGAAGTTCTGATAAGATATAGTCAGGCTCACCTCAAAACACTGATTGTGCTCTCGTAGCAATTCTCTTCCGAAGGGTTGGACTTATTCCACTCTAGATTTGCCCCCTAGTGAGAGGGAGAAGAAAGTGCGACGCTCTGCCTTTGGGTAGGAGGCGGGTGTTATTGATGCCCATGCACCAAAAACACAGAATACCCCTCCTAGGCTGGAGGGCATGCTTCAGAGGGCTAGAAATGGAGACTCCCTCGTTCTGCTGGGCAACTTCTTCAATGCTCACGTGAGCAATCACAGTGAGACTTGGAGGGGCATGACAAGGAGGAACCCCCGACTTCTCTGACCGGAGTCCAAGCAGTGTTATTGGAGTTCTGTGCTTGTCAGGAGCTGTTAATGGTGAGCACTATGTTCAGACAGAAGAGTGTCCCGATGTGGACTTGGCACCAGGACACCTGAGGATGGAGTTTTATCAAATTTGTGGGTTTTTTTCATTGCACTTGCAGTTGCATGTCTTGGAGACTCAGGTGATGAGAGGGGCCAAGCTGTCAGAAGGAACATTAACTCCCACTTCCATTAGAATTTTGACAACATCATGGGAGACAGAGGAAATCAAGTCTGAGTGGACCATGTTCAATGTCTTCCTTTTGTTGAGGTGGACGACTGCAAATATGGGCGTAAAGTGGCCAGTGGCGGCAATCCCTGTTGGTGGACACGAGTGATGAGTGTCAAGTTTAAAGGAAGTCTCAGTCATGAAGAGCCAGATGATGTGGCTCAGGCATCTTGTTAGGATGCCTCCTGGACACCTCCCTGCTGAGGTGTTCTGGATGAGATGAGGTTCTGGTTATGGCCCAGGACCTACTGGAGAAACTAAGTCTGCAAGGGCAAGGGTGGCAGAGCTGGACAAAGTGGCTTGGGTGTTGAGGTATCAGTTGCTATGCAGTTACTCTGATCCTTTTATACTTTGGCCCTTATGTTATGTCACCTTTTGTCTGTCATGTAGGATCAGTTTATAAGCTTGAATTACTCAGTGACCCGTTGTCAGTTCGTCAAGCTTTCTCCCAGTCAGAATGTCTTCTGCATCCAGCCCTGCTGTCAGTAGTTTGTATTTTCATAGATAAAGACTTCTACTTTTCCCAGCTTAACCTGCTGCCACAGCAACCCAATTTCTGATAAGCGGAAGAAAATAGATAGACGTTTGCAGTTTTTTTTTTTTTTAAATAAAATATTACCGGTAAGTTCTAAATACTGTTCTGTAATCGAAAAATATATCCAGTGGTACCTCGACTTACGAACGTCTCTTCATACAAAATTTTCAATATACGAAACGTCTCAACAGGAAAATATTGCCTCTAGTTACGAAAGAAATGTCAAGATGCGAAAGGTAAAAATACAGTATGGGCTGCTAGTCGCAGCTCTGAGTTTCCTGAACGCAACATACTTATAGCTGCTCTGCCACTGGCTATTACCGAGCATCATCTTAAAAGTACGTTCGAGACAACTGGATTAAAGTTATGGCTGAATACTCTGAGATCGCCACAATAGCACTGTTGCTATTTCTGACATCCTACCTGTGTGAGGCGGGGGTTTTCTGCAGCAACGGCGACTAAAACAAAATTACGAAGTCGACTGGACATAAACCACACACTTGAGGTGTCATTGTCTCCTATTGCCCCGAGATGGGACCGTCTGGTTGCAGAAAATCAAGCTCTGGGCTATGGTGAGTCGTCATTTTCATGCACTTTGAATTTGCGTTGTATCGTATTTTGAAGGCATTCAACATTACCATAGCGATAAGAGTGTTGCGACCAGATTAGACGCTCCTTGTGTTTATTATTATATTTCGAAAACACCACAGTTTTCATGCAGCTCATACCATATTATTTTGTTGTATTATTTCCGCCACACCTTAAATGCCGGTCCCTGAAAATATTGTCTGACATAAACCGGTCCGTGGAGCAAAAAAGGTTGGGGACCCCTGCTGTAGGAAACATTTATGTCTAAATTTTGACGGGGGGCTTAGAACGAATTTGGGCATTTACATGGAAAACACATCTCTACTTACAAAATTTTCTAGTTAAGAAATTTATCTCGAACAAATTAATTTCGTAAGTAGTGGTACCACTGTATATTTATTACTCTTATATTTTGTAAACACAATTATATTAAATACTTTGCAATAACGAAGCTGTTATTTCATGTCGCTTATTTTGTGTTGAATATGACCCCCTGCCCCCCAAAAAAAATCATCCTTTAAAAACAATTCAAATACAAATGTGTTACCTGAAATGAGCCAAGGATCAAATCAAAGACAAGCCTTAGCTCTGTCTTGACTTGCTCAGGAATGAATGCAAACACGATAAAGTTGATTCCAAACAGTGGTATCAGGAGCAGTGTGGACTTGGCCAGCCTCCTGAAATAATCCACACCATCAAAAATATTCAGGTCCATATATTATTCAAAAATGTAATATTTTATGTATACACTGTATCATTATTGTATTGATGTGAACTATCCTACGGCTTAGCTAGATTTTTCTTGAAAAAGAGACCTCAGTCTAAAAGTTCTTTTTTTTCTGGTTCGATAAGGGGATTGATTGATTGATTGATTGATTGATTGATTGATTAGGACACTCTATGAGAAGAAGTTTTGGAACACAGACATTTCAACTGAAGTGTCTGAAAATAATATTTGGGGTAGATAACCCGAACTCTAACCCCCATTAACTAAGATGCCATTTACATATGTCTGCAGTCCACTCACAAGTACTGGTTTGACTCATTCCTTCCAATGTCTGGGCAGTTGATCTTCTGACGCAGTATTCGGATGATGCAGATGAAGAGAATGAAGTTAATCTGTGAATAAGATATGGACATATTTGGGGTAAGGGTTATTGCAATTTCCAAAATGAGCCCCAAAAAGCCAATTAAAGTGAATATGTCAGACTTGCTGTTACTTTTCCAAGACAGGTTGTTGGGACACTTTTTTCGTGGGTCAACTCAGCCATGCTCAGTGAAACTAGGTTCAATGGCTGAGTTTTCAAAGAAAATCTCTATGAGCAGTTTTGTTGTTGAAGAATAACAAAAATGGCTGCTTCAAACCAAAATGTATGGCTTCTTGTGACATTTTGGTCATGGCTTCTTGTGACATTTCAAAAGGGCTTTCTTTTTGAAGGACTAGAAATGACCAAAATATGTATTTGGCCCCAGATTTGGCCCCAGATTATGACAAAGAAACAAAGCAATTTCAAAAGGATTTAACTTCTCTGGATAGTGCGGGGCGGTGATCAAAAATCACGCATTGCCCGAATTCAATCGCAAAATGAATGCGGTGTTGGAGTCGCTTCGCAAAATGAAAAAGAAGGAGGAGTAGTTGACCTGGTTGGGAAGAAATTCAATGATTGATTGAAGATTCAGCTAAGTGACGCCATTGAGAAGACACAAGCATTGCTGAAATTGTGGGCAGCCTGTTCCCAAAACAACTGCTATCTGGACTTTCGCCTGAATGGGAAAAAATTTGAGCGGATGCAAGCATTCCTATTTGCCCGAGACTGCTAAGGCCTGTCCTTCAGTCACAGGTGCTTAACATGAACAAATGACAATAACACATGCTGTGCAATTTCAACATCTTCGCTGGATTTCTATTTTCTCTAGCCTCACATGCTCCTAATTCATGTCAAGGCCGATCTGGAAGTCAGCCCATTATGTTCTTCTCCATGCTGCTTCGAGGTCTCAGATGAAAAGGACTGCCCCTTCCTCAATCAGGAATTCCGGAATTCTATGAAAGATATTCAGATCCCACAAATGTAGATAGACATGGATAGGGATTTGCAAAAATGTTTATCAAGGAGAACGGAAAACCGAAAAAGCACAACAAAATACACTTGGTTACAAAGAGCCACAGTCGAATGAGACAAACTAAAAGCGCCTTCAACAAGCAAGGAAAAATAGAAACACAAAATCACTTGCCACCAAATACAATAATAACCGAGAATAACTTTATGACAAAAACATGACTTAGATGAGCAAATATAAAACGTGATGAGAGAACTATGAAGCAAGAGCCAAAACGTCTCAATTAAACAAGCACTTGGTACGAGAGCCGGGAGCAAGGCTTGAATAATCTGAATGGTGACTGCAGAAGTTGGAGTCATTTTACAATCCACTTATTGTATCGCATGACAGGTGCACCGCTGAAGGGAACGCCGTCCATTCCAGCAGTAACTGAAAAATAGACGAAGCGAACCCTGACACACCAAGCGACTTGGTCGTCAAGGGGTGTGGCTTAACACATGAAACCTTTCCCTGGAAGTGCACTCTCAGAAACTGGCGCCCCAATTTATTGGTCCTTACAAAATTGCGGTGCTGGTTAATAATACAACATAAACTCCTGGCCTCTGTTTGTGTTTACCCCACATGATATGTCTCTCAAGTAAAACCAGTCTTTTCGAGTCAATTGTCTTCCCCTCTGCTTCTCCCTCCCCTTCCTCTGTTGTTTGACGGTCAACCGTGCCTTTTCGTCCCTCCACCTCCTGACTCCTCATCAGACTCCAAGACCGTGTCTTAGCCTTCTTTTAGGTGTTCCTCTCACTCCCTTTCCTTTCAGATCCATCATCATTATCCACTGCTACGACTGTACTTACTGTTTCTCTAACTGGATGTGTCCAAACCAACTCTCAAACGTTGTCTGCAAAACACTGAACGTTGGCTGTCCCTCTGATTATCTCAGTTCTAATCCTATCCAACCTGAAAAAATGTGATGTCTGCCTTTCCACCACCTCCAGCTCTGCTTCCTGTTGTCACTTCAGTGCCACTGCGTCATCAGGGGTGTCAAATGCATTTTTGTCACGGGCCACTTTGGAGCTATGTTTTTCCTCGGCGGGCCGTTATGACAGTGAAACCGAATAAATGTTTCATCATCCCTTCGCATAAGTTGTACACAACCAATTGATGGATTACTAGTTTTGAAATCACTCAAGTCAACGATTTGTTTGTGAAATGAGGTTTAAAGGTTCGTTTTTGGTGAAGTTTCTCTTCAACTCTTACCTGGCTGACGGTTTTGGCTGTCACTTCAGCCTTCATCGGAGCTGTCACTGCTTCCTTGTGACATGTCTTAAAAACAGCTATTGGTGTGTTGTTTCTTCCATTATTGTTGAAGTGAGTGTAAACAGGGTAACAAAATGATTGCGAAATCTCAACGTCATTCATTACACATGACAATTTGACATTTCAGTACAGATTTTAGCAAGGATCATACAAGTTGACACGCATGATTTTCTTTCGCGGGCCATACAAAATAATGTGGTAGGCCAGATTTGGCCCCGGGGCCTTGAGTTTGACACCATGCCGTACATCATTAGAATGGCGAGCCAAACCCACTGAGCACACGTGGGAAGGGGTCTAAATTGTGGGAGAGAAGAATAATAATGCCTCTTTCAAGGCTATCGCACCTACCAGGATTAATGCCAAAATGGGAGTTTTGATGATCCACCAAAAGACATCCGTGCTCTCTATTATATCCCAGCACCTGGTAAAACAGGGAGCAAGGGCAAGCTTAAGAATGTAGCACAACACACACCTGTGTTGATCTTACCCAATATCATTATAGTAGGCTTTGGCCAGGCTCCAAGCACTGATGAAAATGGCCGGCCCTCCTTGGAAACAACAGCCGGGAATTCGCATCGGAAAGAGAAAACACATGCGTGCATGAGAAACACGGTCATGTTTGAACCCAGCAGCATTGGCCAGGGCACTGGTGCCATCCTCACCCCAGCCGATGAAGATGTATGCCCAAAAGTACTTCCTCTCCGAGAAGAAGGACACAGACAGTAAGGCGTGGAGATAGAGGCCTTCCACCAGCAGCCAGAAGAAGCTGGCCATGACGCAGTATTGGAAAAACACTATCACTGCCTTACAGCCAGCCTGCAAGACAAAAGTACACACACAGAAATCAGAGATATGACAATGTTTTTCACCTACCGACTGACCGGGGCCTATCCCAGCCGTCTTCGGGCAGTAGATAGGGTACACCCTGAACTGGTTGCCAGGTAAACGGACGGCACACACATACTAAACAACCATCTCTGCTCATAATCACGCCTAGGTCCCATCTAGAGTGTTCCATTAACCCAGTGCTTCTCAATTATTTTCTGTTACGACCCCCCAACAAAAAGAAAACAATTCGTGCGCACCCGCCCCTCCCCTCACTTTCTGCCGCCACAATAATTACATTGTATCCTTATTAAGATTAAAGAAAAGAAAAATAGACATATAGTTCAACTTACAGATAAGAATAACTTTATTAACACTTTGTTTTTTAGTCAGGACAAAAAAAGATTTTCAATGCATCAATTTTCATGAAATAAACTTGTTGAAACATTTTTGACCAACTTATTGCACCATTTGAAACATTGCACCATTCTGAAAAGTAAAACTTAATAAATCAATAAATAAGTGGGGCCCCTCACGATTTGAAAAGGACTGCATTAACCTATGGTGCATGTATTTGGAATGTGGGAGGAAACCTGAGTGCCAGGCAAGCACGGTGTGAACATCCAAACTCCACACAGGAAGGCCGGTGCCGGAATCAAACCCTGCACCTCTGCACTGTGAGGCAGGTTTTAAGTTTTTGTTTTGTTTTAAGTCACCAAATCCATTTGAACTGAATTCAATATTTATCCACTGTAAACAGCTGATGTGCATTTTTTCCACTAAGAACACGGCTGCAGTTACAAAAGTACAATCAGTGGAGTCAATATGGCAACTTTCCTGATATCGCTTCCAAATATTGACAAAAAAAGGCTCCGGGGAATTTGATTCACTTCTAAGAAACAGACGTCAGAGAAATATTTTTACATTGTTGTGTATATTTTGTGTATTTTATTGTAGAGTACAGGGTGACTTCCATGCTTTGAAGGTCCAATGAACTGAGTGGCCTGATGAAAATTATTTGACATGGGGTATCATCAAAAATCAAGTGCCAATACAAAATCAGATTCGAGTTCCAAAAACAGGGCTCTTTCACAGCGGGGCTTACCGAGCTTGTGGCGCAGTTGTCCACCTCGCCCACCTCATAGAGGACCACATCCTTGATGAAAACGGCAACGGCCTTCAGGATGAAGGACACAAACAGGTGCATGTGGATGTAGTTCCTGGTACAATGTAACTTCCTGCCACACAAGAACACACATTAGGAATGCAAAATACTGAATAGTGCCTTCTGGAGTATTACAAAATTCTTGCATATTCAAATGGCATCAAATACAGTACAGGTATCAAACTCAAGGCCCGGGGGCCAGATCTGGCCCGCCACGTCATTTTATGTGTCCCGCGAAAGCAAATCAAAGATGTCAACGTTCATGATGCTTGCTAAATTGTGACTTTCAAATTCTCATTTTTAATAAATAAGAGTGATACTGTAAGCATTTTCTTGTTACCAAATCCCTCATTACAGTACAGTAACTTATACAAGAGGTGAATAAACCGATATTCTTTACTTTATATTGTTTCAGTCATAACGGGCTTCTGTAACTACATCTGTAAATAAGGCCCGTGACAAAAATGAGGTTGGCAACCCCGAAATACAGCATTAATTTTCAGTAGAAATAAAGCACAGAAAAAATGAAGAGGCTCTGCTGTGAAGTGCACATGTGGTCTGGGATATTGGTTTAAAGTTCTGTTTTTTTTCAGGACTTTAAAGGGTTCCTACGTATGGCGACAGTCAAACAGCACCGAGACACTCAACCAAAATTGGACCATATGATTTTTTTTTGGGGGGGGGGGGCAGGGTTTAGTAATGACATTTTGGGTGACACAAGGTAGTAATGTTGAATCAGCATTCGGGTTATGAGAGGCTCTCTCGAAAAATGCCTCCTGTGCAAGGAGTCCTCGAACCCAAAAAGTAAGAGAACCCCTGAACTAAAATAAAATATCGGGTGTGTCATACCTGAAGATGCAGAGGATGAAAATGGCAGTGGTGAGGGAGAGGAGGGAGACGCTGTGGCCTATGGTGTATCCGATCTTCACTTGCCAGAAGAACTTTCCCTGCACAGGGACACAAATATTTGAACACGAGTCATTACACTTACAGGAAGTGAAAACAAAGAGAAGGTGTGTGAGTGTGTCGGTGTGGTGTGTGTATGCATGTGTGTTCAATGTGTGTGTTCAAGCGTGTTTGTGCGTATTTTGCACTTCAGTAAATGTTATTAATCAAGAGCCTGTTCGTGTAAAGTGTGCTGAGAAAATGTCATTGGATGCTCTCTCTCTCTCTCTCTCTCTCTGAGAGACACACACTCACACACACACACACACACACACACACACACACACACACACACACACACACACACACACACACACACACACACACACACACATATAGGCATGCACAGATTGCCCCAGGGGCCTTTTTTCACTGAAATTTTTTCACAGAAATTTTCCGCCTCAAACGTTGGCGGCATGGCCATTTAAACGATTTCACAAGGCAGACAAATACTGAAATGGCAAATGGCAGAGGAGTGAGTTTGGTCTTGGTGACTACTTTGGGAACCTTTTTGGGATACAATCATAACCTACTAGTGTAATCATTTCACATGAGAAATCGATAGAGAACAAGGGGTCACACTAAGTTTTTGTGATAAAAGTCTGTTCCGTGTGTTCTGTATTCACCTGAACTGCAAATAGCTTCATTATTGACTGGAAAATTGTGTTCAGATGTTTCATATGCAGATAAAAAAAAAAAATGTCAAATTGCTTGGCAGATGAATTTATTGTCATCAGTGACATAAACAAATGCAGTGTTTCTTTGGTCCAATGTGCATCTTCCTTGATTGTCCACTCGATCGTTCGCCACCACAGGCAACATTAAGAGTCTGCAGCAATATTTCCCGACCGGTGCTTAAGGGTTCAGTGCTTGGATTGATTTTCTGTAGTGCAAGTCTTTCCTCCAACAAAGGGCGTTAAATGTCAGGGATGATGATCTCTTGTTCACTGCCATGGTCCAAAGGGAGGTGCTCTTCAGCTTGCTGGATCTGGAATGTCACATTAATTCATGAAAGGTACAGCAACTCCAAGAAAGGAAATTGATATAAAGATTTAAAAAAAAAAATCACCACATTAGATTCCATCTTCCCCCAATGAAACTGCATCTAATTGAAGTGTAGGATACAAAAGAATTTCTTAGATGTTTTTTCTAAATTGCAAAAAAAAAAAAAAAAAAGAGTAGATGGGGATTCTTTATCTGACTCATTTTGAAAACCTTATATATATTACATGTATAATATCACAACACATGTAGAACAACTAAAATGATAGAGGTGTCAAATTATTGCATTAATTGCGATTAATTAATTACAGTACATTTAGCGCGTTATTCCTTTTAATCGTGTTAATCTAAATTTTAATCTCTGCCTTTATTGCTTCTGTAGGTGGGTTTCCTTTTTCTAAGAGCCCTTCTGATGTGTTGGCTTCCTGTGGTAGAGTTGTTGAGGGTGGGGAAACAATTGTCAGTCACAGCCTGAAGCGGACATTGATTGGCTGCCATTATGGCGGGGCTTGTTTAGCCGAAGCTGATAGGCTACCAATGGAGTTAGGCGGACTTAGTAAGCAGCGGCGAGCAGTGGAGAGGTGTTGTGAGAGTTCTCGGCACAATGAATGGAAATTTTACATTCCAAAAGCGCCCTGACGACACAATTGATAAAGGTAGAGTGTTGTGCCTAATTTGTAAGAAGGAGTTTGCATACCACCGAAGCAGCTCAAATGTAGCCTCCCACATCAATGCAAAGCACCCAGTCGCGAGTGCAGCCACAGCTAATGTGAGGACTGAAAGCGAGCCATACATCGCAAAGCTCTTCAGCAAACTAAACTCAAGAACACCCCACGTATGAGGCATAGTTGATGTGTCCTCTGAAGACTACTAGAAGTGATTGATGTTTATTTCAGCACTTGTAGTTTGTCATAATGAACACTCTTATTTCTGAAGTGCTAACTTTCAGCACTGTGATTTAAGGGTCTGTTTTATTTATTGATTATTATCTGAAGCAAGTTCAGTGTTGCGTACTTGTATTGCTCAGAAATTGTTCTGACTGTTTTTGATATGTTAACCTAAGCACTTTCTAAGGACCTGATGTTCTATTATATTTTTATTTTGTAATTCTTTGGAGATTTACAAAAACAAACAAAACAGTGATATTCAAATTCGTGGACGAAACTAAAGGTTGCCGGTAGGACTAGTGACTAGTCTCAAATACAGCTGAAAGTAAATGGCTAGGACTGCATCTGTCCAAGTCTGCTGAAAAACAATAAAATACTTTATAATGCCACTTTTTCTTTTATCTTTTGATCTGCATCAATAATGTAATGAATTTGAAATTAAAATAGGGGATTCTCAGTAATTTTTAGATGAGATTGAACTCGAGATTAATTAAATTAATTAATTACATACCCTAATTAATTAATCACACCATTTTTTTAAATTGCTTGACAGCACTATAAAATGATTTTAGAAATAGCCTATTTTCATCCTCCCTATTGCTGGAGCATATCCCACCTGTCTTTGGGCAAGAGGTGTTGTGTACCCTGAACTCGTCGCCAGCTCATCACAGGATTTTAGAAACATAGGATATCTAATATTTTTAGGTAAAAATACCGTATTTTCTCGACTCTCAGTCGCAGTTTTTTTCATAGTTTGGCCGGACGTGCAATTTATACTCTGTCGCGATTTATGTGTCTCGCAATGGAGAAATTCCCAATTCACAGCAGTACGTTATGAAAGGAAGAAGTAGAACAACAAAATATAGGAGCTGCTGGAAAGGCAGCCACTCTCGCGGCGCCATCTTGAAGTCAAAATAACAAAACTAACA